AGAAAAAAAAAATCTTCGCTCTTTGGCAGCTTCAAAAACTCAAATGGCGTTTGCAGAGCGATAATATGTATAGCCATTGCAACTAGGTATCTCTAATTTTTTTCGTGTTTCTTTCCATCAAAGCAAATCACAGTGAAATCAACCGTACGAGCATTCGCGCACTTTCACGGACACATACACGAGACACAGTAGTGCACTTGCAAAAAAAAAAAAAAAAAAAAAACAACTTTGTTGTACAAAAATGTAACTTTGAGGGTCCCCCGAAAAAACGAAGGTTTCGGGGCGCCGAGCGTCTTGAGACTCGCCCGAGTGTCCCACGCTGACACTGCCGCGAATACACCGCGAGCAAACAGTGGTAGCTCTATACCCGGTCACGTGGTACCTTCCTTCCAACTTTGCCATCATATATAAACGTGCACGCGCGTGTATTATCTCACGTGTACGTGAGTGCTGTTTTACTCTGTAACGTGCATGTATAATGTATGTATATGTGTATAAAACAGTGTTATTCGCAGTGTACGTTTATAGGTATACGCAATGTCGATAGCGGGGGAGTGAGTGCAGCGTTATATAGTATGGGTACGTATACCGAGATTACTCGGCGGAGAGTTTAACTTTTCGCCGATAATTGACTCGTTCGCTGCGATTAGGTCGGACGATGATTGCTCGCGAGAGATCGAGATCGCCAAGTGCTCGTTGTGGTGCGCTTGTTAATTGCGAGTACATGTACCGTTTGTTGTTTATTGGGCCGTTGAGTGGGACTTTTTTGCTGGGTATTTTTGAGCTGGCTCTGTTTTTTTTGTTTTGTTCGGGGGGCACTAGTGGGTCGGAAAACTTTGTTACCCGGAGGCGCTGCCAAAACGATTTTTCGGTCGATCGAGCGGGTTCGTTTGTTTTACGGGTTGTTTCCTCTTTCTTTCTTTTTTTTCGGTAAAAAAGTCACTTTTCAATTTCGAGTTTACGAGGAACGCTCTATTTGCACTTGTATTTTGGAGCTGTGTTAACTAGCGGGAGTCATCAACGTTTTGAAATACCTACTCATACGGTTTGCTCGGTGTTACCGATGTTTGCTCTGTTATAATCCACAATGGGAGCGTTTGTTCTCGGCTCTTGGGCGTTCATGCGTGTATCCGAACGTCATAGATAAGATAATGAAAATACACTCTTATTGACTGTCCGAGGAAACACATTGACGCTGGTTTTTGTGAATGCGCTCGAAGATGTAGCGAGAAAGAATGGGATCGATGACGACCTGTTTACGCGCAACGATGCGTATATGATGGAAAATATATAGCATCGGTAATTGGTGGAGAATCCGGATCATCTCCATCGAGATTTGGGTTGAAAATAAAGTTGGGAAATAAACAACAACAACAAACTCTCGTAAAGACTTTCATTTCCCGAGCCGGCGAAGGCCTAATCACGAGTTTCACTTCCTCCCGATCGGTGCATCCGTTAGGCCTCGTAACGGTACGCCGTAACATACCTGCACACCCGTGCAAGAAATTCGTGCTTCTATATTATCAGCGAGCAAATACATATTTCACACGTCGAGGTCGTCGATAACACTTGCCGAGCCGTCCGAATTGTACAATTGAAAAATATTCGGTGATTAAAGGCACGGAATTCGTTCCCTGTCTCGAGTAGGTACTTGAGAATCTTTTTTTTTTTTTTTCGGTTAGAGCAACAGCGATTCGAGAGCCATTACGGTTTATTGCACCATGTGGCCCAATCTCCGTATGTACTTATAGGAATAGTTGCACAAAAATCAGCCGTTTTATGGACAAACCAACAAAGTGTACCACGTGTGATTATTAAAGTTGCCATGGAGTAAGTATTCCGATTCATCACGTAGTATTAAAAAAAAATTTTTTTAATTCAATCCTACAGTAAAGGATTTTTCGGTAGCATATAGCTGCAATTTACGGGGTCTCGTTTGAGTAGACGTTGAAGAAAGTTTAGAAAAATCGAGTGAAAGTGCAGACGAGCATAATATTTACGCAGAACTGAAATGCACTCGACAATAAAATTAGCTACGCTGAGAAACGAAAGGGAAAAAAAAAAGTTTTTAATATAGAGCGCGTAACTCGCACACAAGCTGTGAAATAAAACTTAAAAATGAAATTTATTTTTAAAAAAACGTTATCTATTATAATGCGACGTATTTGCGACCGGAGATCGTAACCGGTGCAACAATCGTAACGCGTCCAATAAAAAACATCAGCACATACCGATCGCGCACGTGTGCACATAAGCAAAACGCGAAGCTATTTCGTTTCAAATGCACGTATACGCATAAACAAATAGATCCATTGGAACTCGTATCGAGTGTACAATGGCGCGTGTACAGAGTCACATTGTATACGTCCCGTCGTCATCGCCGACCTTCATCTCGTCGTCAAACACAAAAGGAAAAGAAGAAAAGAAAAAAAGAAAAAAAAAAATTATAAAAACGTAAAAACGCGCGCGAGGCGAGGTCTGTTGACCGAAAGGGATCACAAAAAAGAGCTGCGCTGCGTCGTTATCGGCCTCACAGGATCATCGTAGCGTCACGGATGCGCGATCGCTTTGACTTCCTCAATGCAATGTACATACACGCGCGCGCGTTACGCGACAATGAGCGTCTTTTTTTTCGTGCTCCACGAGCGTGCGTATATACGCGCGCGTTATTGGATTTTTTTTTTTTGTCCCTTCTACCCTTTTGTCCCGTGCACACTATTGTTCGTGTTTGTCTCTCTGGGGGTGTGCTTATCGTGCGATCGATTTATCGTGTTTTTCCCTTTTTTTTTCCCACCTCCAGGAACTTTTTTCCAGTCACATAAAAAACCGAACGGATGTTTTCGCGAGTTCTCCTGTTGCCGTCTAATGGGCAATCGTCGTGATCTTGACTTTTTCTTCGAGAGCCGCACCGCGTGTACCAGTTTGCGTAATTTAGCTGCCTCGCCTGGGAGTGCACAAGAATTGTTCTCTTCTCCTCCTCCTTCTTTGTTTTCCACTAGTTTCGTAAATTCGTAATCGTCGAATCCCAGAAGCAGCTTGGAATTAACGTTGGCTCTTTGTATGTTATTTTTCGCGGAACAAAGTTGATGCATGATGGATTACAAATAACTCTGACAAGTACAAAGCTTTGTTTTGCGCACAACGTGGCTTTTATTCAGACAAAAACATATTTGAGATTATAGTGTATTAATTCGTACAACATTGCATATAGAGGCGAGATAATAATATTTGTCTTTTTTTTATCAACTAAGTATGTACTCGAGCATTACTTTAGACATGTATAATCACAACACACTCCCAATCATAGAAGCATTGTTTGAAAAATAACTTCCCTCCCCAGCTGTAGTCTGTAAATTAAAATACGTGCCTGAACGAGGTACTTGATCAACGCCATTAATTTATATAATCACGGAAAAAAAGCAACAACACACGCCGTACCCACTAGATTTCCAAAAATAAATTTTGCCGTGCTCCGTTTACCGGAGATATAGAGCGACGGAGTATATAGATGATTGGCCGGCTGCCCGAGAGCCTCATCATCATCATCATTATTATCATTGGCTCTCCTGTCCCTCGTGTTTGCGAGATCCCGACCAAACGCAGAATCAACTAAATTTCAATCGGTACACGCAATTGGTAGTCCCGTATGGCAAGCGCCACAGGCGCAGCTTCGCTCGATGAGCCTCCGTAATTCATCGACAAAGAAAATCGGGGGTAGGCGACTGTGGGCCTCTCGGTGCAGAGCAACGGGTCCTCGGGTCTACGTGTTCAAAAATTGACACGATACGCATCGACAGAATTGGGAGGTGGCGCTGTGCGGAAGAACGTGCCGCGAATATAACGCCGCTGCGAGAGCTTTTTCAAATGTAAGGATTGCACGTGGCAGGTGTCTCAAATTTTTATGTTCCAGGGTATCGGTGCTGTTTACCTGATGTCTAAAGAGCAGAGCGCGTATTGTAATTTAAAAAAAAAAAAAGAAAAGCTCCTATAGGAAATGTACTGAAAAAACGGTACAATCGATCGCATACATATGTAGGGAGAGGGGCGATAAAACTCTCGATTCCCATTAACATGCAAATATCTTGCGTGAACGTGTTAAAGAGAGAACGTGGTGCATATAAATCCTTGGCAGTCCGTATCGAAATGAACAAGAGAACGGGGCCTCTCTGTCACTTTTATCTGTACACGGGCAATATCGACTCTGCGTATATAGTATCCAATAAATAATTTAAATTCCCATTCATGGCGCTTCTTTTTTTTTTTCCTCCCTTTTTGTCTCACTCTGATTAATAAAAAAAAATAAAAAAAATAAAAAACTCGTACGCAGAGAGGAGTGACCGGAAGGACATTCGCACGCGAGAGAGAATAATATCGAGGGTTCGCATAATTAGCGTCGTGTTCACGTGGGCTCGTATATAGCCCGCGGGGGAGTTGTCCCTTCCCCCCATTGTTGCGCAGTTACACATATACACGCAAAATGTGGAATATATGCAATCGATATCGGGCTACTGTACGGTTGGTGGTTGATACTGTTATAAGTACAGCTGTACACGCATGCAGTGGCACGCAGGTATTACTATTACTTAGGTAGGTACACACACATGATAAAGTACACGCGCTCGAGTAGTTCCTTGCATGCAGTTCTCTCGTTCATGTATCAAGTATATATATTTGACTCGAGAAATTTTTCATGCTTGCACTTGCCGGATGAGTGAGTATACAGTCACATAATATTCACGATGCTGGTTATGCGGGCGATTGTTGCTGTGCATGCGCTTTGGTTCAATTGGACTTGTTTCAACGTAAATTAAATTCAAGTAATGTAACATGGTACAAATTATAATGAATAAATAAATAAATAAATAAATAAATAGGTGAAGTAAGTAATTAAAAGAGAAACAAGAAACGTGGGAAAAGAAGAAAAACAATAAAAACAAGTGTTAATTAAAAATGTATGGATAGTAGTATAGGTATTGGGAGAGGAAGAGAAAATCTTTTACCTTGGCGTTCGCCTCTGTAGTGTTGGGCTTTTGGCGGTGGCGGTGGCGGTGCATTCGTGTGTTCTACAATGGACGGGCGAAAATAAGAGAACAAAAAAACACAAACAAAAATAATGAAAAAGTATAACAGAGTGAAAAAGAGATGACAAAAAAAAAAAAAAAAAAAAAAAAAAAAATTACCGAACCAACAAATAATACGACAGTCCCCTGGAAGAGATTGATAATCCAGATTGCACGTATCTGTTTCTTGGAGCAGTCGAGGCGCATAATAGAAAGAAAAAAAAATTCGCAACCTACAATTAAGTAAAAGTTACGGCTCTCTAAATGGGTAAGAAAAAAAAAAATAATAATAATAATCATCGGATAAACAAAGTGGGTACTATGTCGGAGAGCTTACTTAATCAATATATTTTTTTGTTCATCGATGTGTACATTACCATCAGCTTATAAACGATACATTGGTGCTATTCCCAGTCTCATATATATAACCGTAGTCAGTTAATAATATACAGCATACAGTAACACGTGGTAGTGGAAGGGAGAGGCTTTGCGGACGCGCACGACATCACGTAATTGACAATCTAGGTTTAATCTATTAATCCGTCCGCCTCCCGGTGAGGGATGGGACGGCAAGACTCCACTCTAGCTAATTCGAGCGATGAAAGTTTAATGGGGACCGTCTGATGGATCAAGCCCCTTACGTGTAGACGTACCGTGCCGAGCTACATCGGCGATCATCTTTACAACCGAGCTATAGAGGGCATTATATCTGCGGATCCCTGATTGCGATGTGGTAACAACCTTTTCCAAGTGGCAACTACAGAAAAAAAAAAAAAAAAATATTGGCTCTGATGCTCGTCAAAGGGTGGGGGTTATTTCGTTCTCGAAAACAATGGCATGATAATTTGCGAGGAAGCCAAGATTGGTGGATGCTCAAGCACGTTGAACAAGTTGAGCGAAAAAAAAAAAGGAGAAGCAACCAGAGTACTGACTGTACGGTATCGGCCCGTAAACCGAGGCGAGCGTAGTTCCGGCCGGCAGTTCCGGCGTCGGTGCGCTCTGTCCCCAGCAATCGCCGTCCTTGTCTGTCCTCGTGGCAACAACCTCCTCCGGTTCCTCGGCTATCCGCTCCCTCGAGGCAGCCAGCGCGTCACCGACCAGCCTAGGCGACACCAACCTGCTACCACCACCAGCATCACCTTCGATCGCCCGCACCGAGCTCAAGTCCCCGCAAGACCTGTTGGCACCCTGGCCCCGACGCCGGATCATCCTCTCGATCCTCGTCTCCCGCCGGTGGCTCGTCACCCCCGACAGCTCCAACAGGCTCCGGCTGCCCCGCAACGAGCCACCCCTACCGATCTCCAGACCCGCCCAGGCTTCGTCGCGGCCCACCTCCTCCTCCGACGACGACGACTCGGTCACGCGCACGTAGCTCGCAAAGTACTTTGTGTCCCCGTCGCTGTCCAGCTTGCCCGTCGCGCTCCGCCACGTGCCGCCGTACCGATCCGTCCCAAAGTACGTGAGCGTCTTCTCGGGCTCCTTGTCCGGGGTGTCGAACTCGGCCCGGGACTTGCGGCCGTCGGTGCTGCTCCCGGCCGACTGGTTGCTCTGGCTCGTCAGGGTCTCCGTGCTCCCGAAGCCCAAGCCCCCGGGCTTTGGACAATCAGCTTGGAACTCCTTGCCACCCATACCCTCGTCGCTCCTCGTCGCTGGCAGGTCGGCGAAAAATTTGCGCCTGAGGTACCGGTTGTGCTCGAATATCTCATGCAGTCGGTCCCGGCTCGTGCGGAACTCGGGATTGTGGGGCACCACGTAGTCGTCCGGCCGCCTCGGTAGCTCATCCTCCTCCTCCTCCTCCTCGAGTTTGCTGTTTGCCTTGGGCCGCGACGGGGGCTGGTTGTCGGGGATGTCGCCAAAGTAGGTCCTCTCGAACTCGGTCCGCGGCTCGTTCCACTCGCAGCCGTCCAGTCTCTCCTCGGAGCGGGAGGGCTTAGCCGCGTTGTCGGCCGGCATCCTCAGGTAGACGAGGTCGGCCCGTTGGATCTCGGGCATGGACCGGCGCTGCACCGCGTGGCGCTCGAATCTCTGGAGCTGGCCGGCCGAGCGCATCCTCAGCCGGCGGGAGAGCCGCGATAACCGGCGCGGATCCTCGACTCGGCTCCCCCCTTGTGGCTTCTCGGTGACCATCGCGGGGCTACTCTGTCACTTGCACTTTACTCTCGTCGATCGACGCTCGGACATGTTCCGTCAATGTTCACCAAACCCCGAACTCCCTTCCGCATCGGATTGAGTTCAACGTCGTGTTCAAGGCATATACATAGCACGGGGTATGATGATAACACGTAATCGGCTGGGCCGGCAATTTGGTAAGGTTGGCTTGTTGCGTGCATACCAAGCCGAGTCGATGAGCTACAATTACGACACTTTCGTCATGTTTTCACGACCGCGGATGTAGTAATCGAAACAACGCGAGTACCATTGATTTCACTGCTGATTGCGCGGTTTTGGTTATAAACGAAAAACAATACCCGATTCTTGTTCATTCATCCCCATGTTTGCACATCTTACACAGTGAGGCAGCTATGCCAAACACAGCACTGATTATGAAAAAAAAAAAAAAAAAAGAAGGAGCCGCAAACCGACGCGCGAAACCAAAGTCTGCCGCGACGCGCTTTCTCGAGTGTATACAACATGAATATGTATACGTGTACGTAGATGTGACCTTCGTAGCTCGGATGCTGAGAGCGAGAACAGAGCAAGAAAGGGGGGGGGGGGAAAACGCG